ATTAAGATAAGTGGTGCTAATCCATACAGAAGTGTAAAAGCAGAGTCAGGTTATGAGAGCAGAGCGCATCAGTGAGAGTACATCAGCTTGCTAATGAGTCATCTTAAGTAAGTCATCACCTGCTGTAAGCAGCTGCAAGTCAAGCCGAGGCATTTCTCAGCAGTTACATGTGCCACACAGGAATTAAATAAGATATATGAACTTGGAATGAACTGGGACGGACAGATGGAAAGAGACAGACAGACCAATATATAGAGACAGACAGGCAGACAGACAGACCAATATATAGAGACAAACAGACAAACAGACCAATATTTAGAGAAAGACAGGCAGACAGACAGGCAGACCAATATATAGAGACAGACAGGCAGACCAATATATAGAGACAGACAGGCAGACCAATATATAGAGACAGACAGACAGACAGACCAATATATAGAGACAGACAGGCAGACCAATATATAGAGACAAACAGACAGACAGACAGACAGACCAATATATACAGAGAAAGACAGGCAGACAGGCAGGCAGACCAATATATAGAGACAGACAGGCAGACAGACAGGCAGACCAATATATAGAGACAGACAGACAGACCAACATTTAGAGAAAGACAGGCAGACAGACAGACCAATATATAGAGACACGCAGACAGACAGACAGACCAATATATAGAGACAGACAGGCAGACACACCGACCAATAAAGAGACAGACAGACAGACAGGCAGGCAGACAGATAGACAGACCAACATATAGAGACAGACAGACATATAAAGACAGACAGACCAATATATAGAGACAGACAGGCAGACAGACAGACCAATATAGAGACAGGCAGACAGACAGACAGACAGACAGACCAATATATAGAGACAGACAGACAGACCAATATATAGAGACAGACAGGCAGACATACAGACAGACAGACAGACCAATATATAGAGACAGACAGGCAGACAGACAGGCAGACAGACCAATATATAGAGACAGACAGTTAGATAAAGACAAACAGACCAATATATAGAGACAGACAGAGAAATATAGAGACAGACAGCCAGACAGACCAATATATAGAGACAGACAGACAGACAGACAGACCAATAGATAGAGACAGACAGGCAGACAGACAGACCAGTAGATAGAGACAGACAGATAGATAGATAGACAGACAGACAGACAGACAGACAGACAGACAGACAGACAGATAGACAAATATACTAATAGATAGAGACAGACAGACAGACAGTCTGACAGATAAATATAGATAGACAGATAAGTCTTTATCTGTCTGACAGATAAAGACAGACAGAAAGACAGACCAATATATAGAGACAGACAGACAGACAGACCAATAGATAGAGACAGACAGATAGATAGACAGGCAGACAGACAGACAGATAGACAGGCCAATATATAGAGACAGACAGACAGACCAATAGAGACAGACAGACAGACAGATAAACAGACAGACAGATAAAGACAGACAGACAGACATACCAATATATAGAGACAGACAGACCAATATATAGAGACAGACAGATAGATAGACAGGCAGACAGACAGACAGGCCAATATATAGAGACAGAAAGATAGACAGACAGACAGACAAACAGACCAATATATAGAGACAGGCAGACAGACAGACAGACCAATAGATAGAGACAGACAGATAGATAGAGAGACAGACAGATAGACAAATATACCAATAGATAGAGACAGAAAGATAGACAGACAGACAGACAGACCAATAGATAGAGACAGAAAGATAGACAGACAGACAGACAGACTTGGGGTTAGTCTGCCAGGACTGTCACCTGTCTCTTTACTGGAGTGGGGGCGGAGCTAAAGTGTGTTTGTGTCTGCATGTGTATGAGTCAGAGTCAATGTTGCTTACAAAGACGAAACTGCCGTCTCCGCCTGATACACAAACAGCCCAACCGCAGTCACGCAACTCACCCATGTGTGACAACAATTCATGGACGAGTCCCAAATGAACCGGCACGACAGCGATGAGTCTGTGTTAACGTGATGATGAGAGGAAGGTGTGGCCAGGATGTACAGAGGAGATTTAATCACTAAAAGGAAAAACTCGTCCTCTGTACTGAGTGAAGTATGTCAGTCTGGTGAAACAGCGGGCGTGTTCCTGCACGATTCCCGCCGATAGCAGATCATTACATCAACAGCTTCAGGCAATGTGGCATATTTCAGCCGAATGTTTTTCTCCACCTGATTCATGTGAGTGGCATATGGGTTATACATATGCAATATTTGTTACAGTGTGAAAGCAGCACTTGTATTTAACCGAGGAGGGGACTCGCAAACATATTTGTATTGCTAAGTCCAAATGTCATTGAAACTGCAGTCACGTTTGGCTAATTATCCACTAATTTCCAGCAGATTGCTTCAAAAGCAAACAATTTTTATGGCTAATAAAATACATACCAGGGTGCAGTAAACCTGCCGACTGGGAGCCGGTGTGTGAGCGAGACCTCATGAGGGCATGTAAACAGTCAGTAACGGTTAGTAATGCTGCTAGTTTTATCAGTAACTGCAGGATTCAAATGTAAACACAAGGCCGCATGCTTGAGTCCTGGATCTGTGACGTTTGCTGACTCGCTGGGAAACCAAATATATGAACTATAGAGAACTATATAGTGTTTATATATATATGAAAATCTTTTGCACTTTCTATTCATCAAAGAATCCTAAAAAAAAAAAAAACTTTTTTGAATGATAACTTATAAACCTTTAAAAGACACACCTACTGTGAGCTACAAGGTTGTTAATCCATGGTATAATTTGCTTCTGCTGAAGCTGTCAGCTCGCATTATTTCAACTTAGTTTTAAAATAATCATGTTGAACAGTGGAATTCCTAGCGAAAATGTACATTACCCATGATGCCGTACAGAAAATTACACCAATCAGAGAGTCGAAAAAAGCAACACACTTTAGCTCCGCCCACTCCCATGAAGCACTGCGAATGATCTAATCGAGTTGGTCACCAAATACTTAAATATTTGTCAATATATATGTGTATAAAGTATATTGTTTTTTTACATATATAATCAACATTTCTAAATTAGTAGTTTTATGTTTCTCAGTCGTCTGTTCGCAATGCTTCATGGGATTGCAGTTCTTTCCCGTCACTAAAACTGTTAAGTACACAGTCCTGTACATATGTCTTTTTCAAAAATTACAAAAACTGTTTTGCTTCAAATCAAAGTTTGTAGTGTCGTGGCTTGGTCCGTAGCTTATGACGCTTTAACAAAGACTTTCTTTATAATCTCTTTGGGAAAAATGAAAGGAAAAAACTTCGGGAACCAGCGCCGCTGATAAAGGGGACAGGCGCTAATGCACTCCATTATCAGCCAGTGTTGATTAATAGAAGTATACAGACTGATATGTCTGTTTTCATCCAGTCAGTTTAATGATGGCAGCTGATCCAAGATCAGTACACTCGCTTTAAGCCATGCTAGAGACCCGAGTATATCACATCTGCTGACTTCAGCATTGTCTGAGGCAGCTTTTATTGTCTCCAACTGGCGTCAGGAGAGATACGCTAGTCCTTCATTAGCATTAGCAAACTTTTACCAGAGTCTGAACAGCAGGTTTAGGACCTTTAAGGTGGTTCAGTTTATAATTAGATGCATCTGCTGAAAAGTTCTCTCTGTTTAGATGTGTGAGAAGAATGGCTTGGACCAAAACCATCTCAGAAGTCTTTCACATCACATGACCAGACATTTCTGGTTAGCAGAGAATTATAGGTATTTCATATTGTGGTGGACCTGGACGCTTTACTCAAGGTCTCTGCTAAGTGACAGTTTTTATGGTTTTTATGTTGTTTCAGGCATTTGGAGCAGGATGGAGAGCATGTATTGAAACGTAATAATTGCAACACACAAATAATTGCAAGACTTCCAGAATTAAACAAGGATGTAATATCATGTTTGGTCTAACACAGACACATGGCGTTCATGACATCTGTTGCTTTAACCTCATCAGGCTTTTTTCTTCACTGTCATAATCCAATATAACTCTAACAACAACCAATGAATGAGATGGAAATGGAAATAATGTCTAAAACAGTTCTTAAAATGACCCATAATGATGTATAACATCTTTTACTATTGAAATAAGTGCTAACAACATTGACATTCAAATGACAAGAAGTCCAACCTACACAAAGTAATTTGCTTATATGCAAATAATTGATCGACTCTTCAATGGAATAATGTACAGGGAGTGAAAATTTCCATTCCTGCAATGTATTACTTTTTGATAAATTAAGAAGTGGTCTATTATAAGAAAGTTAGGCTTTTACCGATCAGTTAATTAAAAAATACCAACTGATATTGTAATATTTGCAGTGGATAGTTTATGTAAGGATGGTGTAATGATAATATAATGATTGTAGGAGCTATTAAACGCTATTACTTAAAATTGTTGTAGCCTATATCACAAAACTGTAAACAACACTCTATGCATGGTCATCAATATGATCTCTCTTGTCGGATATGAAAGGTTTGGCAGAAGGTTAGTTTTGATTATATGCTTTGGGAGGAATAAATAAACATTTGAGTTTCTGTGTTTGGTTAGGGATGTAGATTTTGCCCTTACAAACATTTACCATGGTAACCATAGTTTCTGACAGAAGATAATTTTGTTTGTTTAACTTAAAAAAAGTGAGTTACCGGTTGCCTTTAAATGTTGAGTTCATTGAAATAAAACAACAAAGGAGATAGATTTAATAAAAAGAAACTCAAAATATTGTCTGAACATTACATATTAATCATCTAAGCTGATTCAACAAAAGATAAAAAGTTGTGATAAATCATGAAAATAATTTTTACAGTGTTGTTTTTACAATACAACTGCAAAGCCTATTTAAATACTTAATGCATATAGCCTATATATATATATATATATATATATATAATGAAGTGTGTATTAGCCTATTAAAGTGGTTTAAATTCGAGAACCAAGTAATTCAGTTCGTACCTCTGATCCAGTCCACAACCTGAGTCGCTGTCCACTTGGTTATCGGCTCCATTCTTCTAATTCAGATGTTCAGAAACTTTCGGCCAAGTTCTCAAACTGAAATAAAGTTTCCCACTTGCGCGTCCTTTCTCATCTCTAACAACTGAACACTGATGATCGGATCACAGGAACAGCACTGAAGCTCGACACACACACAGACCGAAACTAAACACGAGAGAGAGAGAGAGAGAGAGAGAGAGCGGCGGATCATGTTACACTCAAAGGTCAAATTTATATCGCTCCTAGTCGTCTGAATGGGTCAGTGAGGGTCAAACACACGACTCGCCGTTTCATGTGAGAAACTTTATTCCTAAACATCTGACGTCCATTTAGAAGTCTGTAATGTCTCAAAACACAATAACGCATATAGGTTCGGTAAGATGTTTTGTTTTTGAAAAAAGTCTCTTCTGCTCACCACCAAGGCATAGTGTGATCGAAAATACAGTGAAAACAGTATTGTGAAATATTATTACATTTAAAAAAAAAAAAAGTTCTATTTTAATATAGCATTTTTCTTTATTCCTGTCATCAAAGCTGAATTTTCAGCATTACTCCAGTCTTCAGTGTCACATGATCCTTTAGAAATCATTATAGTATGATAATTTAACGATTCTTCTTTTTCTTATTATTATTATCAATGTTAAAAACAGTTTTGCTGCCTAATAGTTTTTTTTTTTTTGTGGAAATCATGATACGTTTTTCAGCATTCTTTGATGAATAGTGAGTTCAAAAGAGCAGCATTTATTTGGAATATTTTTTTCAACAATTGTATTTTGTCACTTTTGTACAATTTCCTGCATCAGTCGTGTATTGTAGGCTAATGTATATTGAAGTTTATATATATATATATATATATAATAACAATACATAAATAGGCCTACAATAATATTTAATAAAAAATAAAACATTTAAATCTTAATTTATTGCTTTTAAAATGTTTATTTATTTAAAACGTACTATTCGATTAAACTTTTCTTTTTTTTTATCAGATGTCTCCACAGCACCTGGCATTTCTCACTCTTGTTATTACATTAAATTCATGTTGTATTTCTTTACATGCAGGACAAAATAGGCTACTGTGCATGCAATGCACTTTTGGACAGTTCATGCAATATCCTGGGAGCTAAATAAAGGTAAAACTTTTCAATTAAGTTCATTTAACTTTTCTAATAAAGTTGTGAATGGGTATGAGTGAAACTGGTTTGTATGCTGGTCTGGGTATTTGAGTTTGAGATTTCCCAGTGAAAGTCCATTATTTGCACCGCACCGTCCTCTACTGGCCAGAGTTTAAAAGTACAGTTGAAAAACCTTCTGATTAATCATCATCTCAATCTTGCTCAGGTCAGGTGTGAGCTTTCTTTCTTTCTTAAAGTCCTCCTGTAGTCAAACGTATCTTTGATCACCAAAATTACATATTTAAACGTTTTTTTTCTTCATGCCTTAAAATAGATTGAATGTAACTCTACACCCTTGCCTCATTTAGTATACGAGGTTCTATGAATATGCAAATGAGCCCCGCCTCCACTCACTCACACCAGCTCAGAGATCCACTCGTTGACGATCACACGTTGACCTGATTGGTTACAAAGTAGTTTGCGACGTCAGAAACACCAGCGATTTCAAACCGCGGTTTTTGAGACTGTCTTTGGTTCACTGCAGTTTTAAGCAGAAAATACTCAGCAATGGTGTTGACATGAATCTGCACATGTTTTTTCTTAAAGCATATTAAACACACCACATAGACATATAAACAACATTAAATAGGCCTACTTGATTTTCATCACAGGGGGACTTGTGATGAAATGTTATATTTTTCATGCATGTGAACCCTTGAATTCAATAGTCATCTGTATGTAGATGCATTTTTTTTATTTCATAGTAAATTGTAGTAGTAAATTTGTTTCATAGTATTCAAATTTCAGCAACAGTTCTAATTTTTCCTCCATTATTATGCAACTGCACGCACTAAAAGCAGGTTTTCATACTTTTAGTTTTAGTTATTTTAGTACTTCAACTTAAACTAACCAAAAAAACAGAAATACTGAAATAAAGTACGATCACGTTTCTTATTAATTTGATTTCAGTTAATGTTTGTTTTATTTAACGATAATAACCCTGACTCATAACATCAACATTTAACATTTCAACTGTATATTTAAGATAAACAATCACTGAAAACAAGCAATGTGCTTTATTATAACATATAAAGCATATTCAGTTAAAACATTTTCGAAAAATAAAGTAGAACTATTGAAAAACAAATATCTCAAAAATATCTTATCATATAAAACATGTTTCACTTGTTTAAAAATAAAGATTGCGTGTCTGGATTATACATCAGAAGAGCATCTTTCTTAGACATTTCAAGAAGAAAGTAAAAACAATATGATGTAGAAAACTATAAAATCTCTATGGTGGGAAGCATGGGTCTATTGCACAACACATGCTTTGGCGCTGTGCTGTTCTGAGCTCAGCTGTGCCTCACATATGGCGGTCACCCACGCCTGCTGCTCTTCTGCTCCCCCGGCCCGCAGCTTGAAGGTGCGTTTGCTGTCCTTTGGTGTGATTTCCCAGCCTAATGGCCCATCATAATCCTCCAGCATCTTCACTCTTGCTCCAATCAGATTAATGGCCTTTTCTGCGGACTAGACAAAGATGCATAGGAGCAGTTAAAAATGTCAACGTGTACCGTTGGTTGATGGGAAAAGAAAAGCATTTTTTTTTCTCTATGTGTGCCAGTGTTAAAGGGATATCTCACCCAAAAATGAAAATGTTGTCATCACTTACTCACCCTTATTCCAAACCTGTATGAGTTTGTTTCTCCTGCTGAACACAAAAGAAGATATTTCGAAGAACTTCAGTTCAAACCGTTGTTGGGCCCTATTGACTTTGACTTTTTTTCCTACTATTGAAGTAAATGGGGACCATTCAATTGTTTGATTATCAACATTCTTCAAAATATCTTTTGTGTTCAGCAGAAGAAAGAAACTCATGCAGGTTTGGAACAACTTGAGAGTGAGTAAGTGATGACATTTTCATTTTGGGGTGAACTATCCCTTTAAGGCCCATTCATAACAATGACTATAACTAACGTATAATGGCACAAAGAAACGATATGGTTGGAATCACTTTCACAAGGATTTTTTTTTTTTTTTTTTGAGCTGAGGAAAGATACAAACATTGACAGCCATTTAATCCATCTTGCTTTAAAGTGGTAGTTCACCCCAAAATGAAAATGATGTAATTAATTAATCACCCTCATGTCGTTCCAAACCCGTAAGACTTTCGTTCATCTTTGAAACACAAATGAAGATCTTAATAATGATTCAAAAGTTCATAAAGAGCTCATAAAACTAATCCATATGAATTGAGTGGTTTAGTACAAATTTCCTTGAAGAAACAAATTTAATTTGGGCTTTTATTCGCATATATCATCATAATCATATAAAGCGATCATGTCTCAGAAAAACTTTTTTACGATCTCTTTATGCACTTTTTGAAGTGTCAAAGTGGTAGTTGCGTAGCTGTCAATGAAGGGACAGAAAACCCTTAGATTTCATGAAAAGGTCTTCATTTGTGTTCCGAAAGTGAAATAACAGTCATTTTTCATTTTTGGCTGAACTATCACTTTAAAGAGCTCGGGCATAGTATAGTATCGTTCTTTATTGGCGGGAACGGGCCTTCACAGGCTCATAACCATAACGAAGAGCGTCTCCATTAGCAGGCGTTGCCATGGTAACTTAACAACAACATGGCGAGAAGAAACTCAATCCGTGGCATTTACATATTAATTATTTAACCTGCTAAAACAGTATCTGAACTAGACCGCATCCACACCACTCTGGCAGGCGTGCCGAATTAATGCTGATAAGCTGATCACTGTTATACGTTTCTTAAGAGCCCGGCAGGACTGCGAGGCTCAATGATAATGATGAGCAAAATTATTCACTCTTACCTTTTCATTACAACCATAGATAAGCTGCCCATCTTCTCTGATATGAAACCATATCAATTTCCAGCGCCCGGTGTAGTGCGTTTTCTTAAATAACCATCCTTCTTTCCACACGTCGTTTTCTTTTGGATGGGTTTCATCAGTTTTGCCGTTAGAGGTCGCCGCTTCTGAAGCCATTACTCTGAGACGTTCTTCTGCACGCGCATGCGCAAGACTTAATACAAGTCTTTTATTTTTGATGTAGTTAGAAGGAATATAAACTAAATTCAAATATAAATAATTAAATATATAAATAATGACAACAAATAGGCGGCTTTAATTAAATAGTGTTAATAATATTTACAGGGTTCTCTCACAGTCATGCAAAATCTGGAAATATCAGGGGGGGGGGGGGGGGGGGGTATGCAAATATATAGACTGTAATATTTAATTAAGCAATGTTTAATCAAGTTACTACTGGTGGTGAGTTTAATATCTAATTAATACGACTGGAAAGGTAATGTTTTATTTTGTTTTGCTTGCCTGTGTCCAAAAAAGTTACGTTAAACCCAAATATAACATTTTAAAGATACATTTTGATCTAACAAAATATTTGTTTGGGATAAACTAAAATAAAAGTCTTTTGTGTACGTCAGCGTCATTAGTCCAGCTGAGGAAATGGCGGCCGCGGCGATGGCAGGAGCTGTGGCGGATCTTCCGCACGTCACGGAGGCCAAAAAGATGGAGTATTTCTCCTCGATCAACTCAATGGCCCGTAAGATTATGCAGGAGAGGGAGAAGATAAAGGACAAGTTCGGTTCGGATTGGGATCAGATGAGCCCGGTCGAACAGGACACGGCGATAGACAACGGGATGATGGACCCGCGGATCCGGGCTCGGTACGCCATGCACCGGGTGGACCGAGACGAGGTGATCTGCTACCCGAAACTCCTCATCCAGACAGGGCAGAAGACCGTACACTTCGGAGAAGAGGTGCTTGTGTTTTGTATTGACATGTGTTAAGTTTATTGTCGGTCCAGTGTTGACTTGCTTTATTTGATTTGCTCTAGTCATTTAAGTCTTGTCAATCCCTAACAATTAATTACATTATATTAAAAACAAACCTTCTAAACAGGCTGCCCGCTGTTAATTCATGTTTTTTTTACTTGCTTATCTTGTATTATTCATGACAATAATTGATTTTCTTTATCTTTACAAAACATGGCTGCTCACAAGACCTTATCTGATCTAAAAATCTATACAAGTTAGGTCAAAATTAGATTGTTTACTAGTAAAAAATATATATTTTAAACCAGCTACTAAAATTGTAAACAATATTAATTGTCAATTTAAATCAAAAGTTCCATTTAAGGTAAATTGTTTACTAAACTTGTAAGTTTACTAGACAAAACCCTCTGGATTTTCAGGGTTAAGTTTATTAAACAAATCTCTTGTCAACTTTCAATAACTTAAATTATTTAAAATATCACCAATTTCAGTGAATTAATCTGTGTACTTAGCCGATACGTGTCAAATAGCTATACATTAGGCTTGATGTATAGATTTTTGACACATATCTGCTAAGTAACCGGATTAATTCACTGAAATTTAAATTTCCGAGATTTTAAATAGTTGAATTACTAAACAAATATCTGCCATAAAATCTATTAATAAAATGTTTCTTAAGAAACTAGAGCTCAAATATCTATAATAATCTTTATGATTTTTTTTATATACTACAGTTAAACGAGCTACTAAACAAATCTAAGACAAATAATTTATATATATAAATATGTAGCCTAAATGTCACATTTCTTTATTTACTAAATAAGTCTGTAACAAATATCGATGAATTCAACAATTGTATTAAACTTATATAAATTAAACTTTTTATTAAGTTTCTATCAACGATTTATTAAACAAATCTATGCCACATCTATAAATGATGTATTAGGTTGAGTGATGCAGTTAAACTGGCTTCTAAACTAATCTAAGACAAATATGTTAGTGTCAACTAAATAAATGTCACATTTCTATAAATGTTCACTGAACATCTCTTCAAAGTCTCTATATTAAAATGTTTACTAAACAAGTCTGTACCAATTATATACATTAAAGTAAATTCACTATTTACGTAAATTAAACTTTCTACTCTATCAACTATAACAAATCTGTCAATTATGTATTAGATTTTGGGTTAGATTTGCATCTTTTTTATTGTGTACTACATATTTTTATCCTTATTAAGAACAGAAGCAAAAATGACATTAAACGAGTGATGTTGCATCTTACGGCATGTTAAAATCTCTGTCTCCTCTGTTTCAAGGATTTAACTTGGCAAGATGAGCACTCGGCTCCCTTCTCTTGGGAGACCAAGGCAAGTAGGCCACCTTTGCTAAAAATACATTCTCAATTCGCTAGCAAAGTGCAAACAAATGTGATTCAGCCCTTCCCTTCCTAACAGAGTCAGATGGACTTCAGCGTGATCTCCGGCGCAACAGAACCGGCCGTTCCCTCCTCCGTGAGCGAATCCAAACCCAAGACCTCTCAGAGTGGCAAACTGCCCAGCAACGACGAGTCCTCCTTCTGGAAGATCAGCGCTGAGCGCTCCAGGCTAGAAGGCGAGAAGGCTGAGTTTCAGTCTCTGACGCCCAGCCAGATCAAGTCTCTGGAGAAAGGCGAGAAGCCTTTACCCTCGTACCTGAGGCCCGAGTCTGGGCCGAGGGAGTCGGAGGAAGCGCCCGCCCCGCGGTCGGTTAAACAGAGAGCCCCCAAACCTCATGCTCCTCCTCCGCCCGTTCCCATCAGCGTGACCCCTGTGGCGATCAGCGTGACCCCGACACCTCCGGCCCCCGTGTCCTCGTCGCAGGAAGGGTGGGAAAGGGCCCAGAGCACGCTTCCTTCTGTAAGCAGCACTACGGATGATGTGTTCAGTCCTGGTCTGGTCACCAGGTCTTCCTCTCAGTCCAACAGCACAGTCAAAGATCAGGCCTCGCCCGCCGCCAGTCCTACATTCGCACAGGTTAGACCCTCATCTCATATACAGTTGTCAACATTTGAAGTGGATTGAAAAATTTCATCAAAGTTGTCCTAAGACAAGAACGGGTAGTGTTCAAAATTCATGTATAACTTTGATGAAAGGTTGACTTACTGTAGTCTGCGACTGAATGGTCATATTTAAATTGTTCAAGCTTTATGAATTCATTTGATTACTGTTTTTGACAATACATTTGCGTTAAATCATAAAACAAAGAATCCAGAAAACATTTAAAAAAGACGAGACAGATTTTCAGGGGGAGAAAAAAAACATTTCATAGGGCACTATTATTAATACTTTTTTAATAAATTGTTAAAATTGTATGAATTCAATTGATTTAGTCATCTTATTTGATTATTAAAAATTAAATTCAACCATTAAAAATTGAATCCAGAACAATTTAAATGGAAAACATGGAATTTGTGGAAAACGTGGACTCTACCTTTTAAAAATGAATGATATTTTCAAAAAGAAATCCTCAAATAGTTTGTTAGAATGATTTCTTATGAAAATGTAAAATATTTTAACAACTTACACCTCTTATGCTATCAAATCGAGTAATTGCGATTAATCGCATCTAACATAAGTTTGTATATGTGTGTGTGTATACAGTATATATATATATATACACACACACAAACTTTTATGTTAGATGGAATTAATCGATTCGACAGCACTAATAAAAAGACCAAGTCATGTGATCAAAACTGGAAATGATATCATATGGACCCCTGCTGACCATGACTGTAGCTGTGTGATCCCAATTCAGAGGCTGCGGACACGGACTTAAAAAGCCACATCTTTGAGGTTCGCTAAGGTTGAACCGAGCGTTGTTGAAATAAGTCAATATTTGAAACCGCTTTAAAGTGGTTTATTTTTTTTGTGTCGTTAGATATTCAAGTAATTCGAAACCAAATACTTGCAATTAAAAGGGTAATCCAGTATTTTCCCTAAAAACAAAATCCAGTCATCACCGGCATGCACTGGTTCTTGGGATTGACTATTTGCCAAGGATCCACTTGTTCCATCCTTCGCAGCCCAGGGAAAGAAGGACGCATTTGTAGGCCGTATTTGAAGGAGCCTTCAATTTGCGACGGCCTTCGTCGCTTCGCTGTGACGCATTCGGCCTTCAAATGCAGCTTTCGAAGGATGCAGCCTCTGAATTGGTACACAGCTTGAGTGTCAAGCTCAATAAGTCTCTTAGAATAACCTTTTTATGACAAAAGTTAGTAACTTCAGGTTGTAAAATATGTGGTGCAACTGCCAAAAACCTAATGATACTTATTAACAATGTCATATTTGTAAAACAATACTAAAAAAGCACCTTGAAAAATATGTGTTTGTATTTATGGTTTGAGAAATGTGTTATTCATTTTTACTTGGTTACACCATTTTCTGAGTAATTAAATCGAAACCTTTCTTGAAAATGGTGTAAATGTTTTTTCAAAACCATATGAAACCAACATGAATACATGTCTTTTGAAATATATATTTAAAAAAATATATATTTGGACACGTGCAAGTCATTGACCCTCACATCCTTTTTCTATTTGTATTTCCGCCACTAACAAATGAGTCATTGACAAACCAAAAATTGTTTTATTTCCTTTTTTTCAGTTCAACACAAGCAGCAATATCCTGAAGACTGGATTTGATTTCTTGGATAACTGGTAATTCCTGAAGAACCCATTCTAGATCACAGGCCCTACAAGCACCATAAACACTTACACTACAGAACTCTTTCCTTTTAAATCCATATGCTTTAGTAGTTCAGCTATAGTGCATCAATATCTCTACAATTGTATTCGAATCTTCATCTGACCTCATCTCACCGGTTAGAAGTTACTGAATGCATGAGCTATGATACATTGGGTAGGATTTTGAATCTTCCATCCTTGATTCTTATGTCGTTTTTCACACTTGGTACATTTGCCTGAGTCCGAACCCAATTGAACTTCCCTGTTGGTTTGCTTTCTCATTGTTATGTTGTTCTGAACTGTGGTACGTTTGCACAAATTTTCCCCGTTAACACTAGAACCACCAAAAGCTGTTAATAATTGCAGCCAGGAAACAAAGTTGGAAATCTTAAAGGGATAGTTCATCCAAAAATGATGAATCGCCACCCTGATGTTGTTCCAAATCCGTTCAGAAAGCTCTCGGATTTCATCAAAAAGATCTTAATTTGTTTTTCGAAGATTAACGAAGGTCTAACAGGTTTGAAATGACATGAGGGTGAGTAATTAATGACAGAATTTTTATTTTTGGGTCAACTAACCCTATAAATGTTTTGATTTTGTTTGGTGTTACTACCAAACTGGCACAAAATAGTTAATCAGTACCAGCCCATTTCTATATTGCATTCACATCAACCGTGAGCCATACTGTGGTTTACAATACACCAAAACCCCTCTTTAGACTCAAGTTTAATTCCTTTGTGCGCAGTTTCAGAAGTTCGGAAGATGCATTAATCATGATCAGTCAAATTCAGATCTACTCTAAAACCACTAGTGTGAATGCCACATCACCGTCACTGCCGTAAATTTTTATCTATATTTATCTAGACCTTGATACTAGTGTTAAGATGCTTCACTGTACATTTATTAATAAGGACCTAAACGAGACACCGTAGCGCTAGCATGGTTTTGAGATGACTTGCGCCTTGCTTATTTTGTAGACTTTTTATATGCGTGCTGCTTTCATTGTATGCTTTCTTTGTCTCTTTCCTGTAGCCCAGTACACCAGAGATGACTTAAAAACTTTAAAGCAATAGTTAAAATCTCCTTTTCTTTGTTAGGCCCGAAACATACTCCACACAAGTACGCAAACGTAGTCGACATTTAACATGCATTATTGCAATACTTTGGAGGTAACAAACTCCAGTACTCAAGGGGGCGATAGTGTTACCTTCTGCACCATTAAAACTGAATGTGCTATTATTCAGGTAGCTAGCTAAAAACATGTCCACAGTTGAATAACTTGCGTTTGATCATTTCAAACGCTTGTTTTTTTCCGAATGGAACGACTTGTGAAATCAAGATGCTATAAGCATTTGTGTTCACATACTTGCCTGTCGTATGATTCAGGGGTTAACTAACTAGGTTTTCAAGGGTAGGAATAATTTTTGGAGCTTTGTTGCAAGATGTTTTCTCTTGAATACGAAATACGTGGCCTGGAGCCAGTATTTATGCATTCATATATCTGTAATGCAAAATGACTACAATAAAAGTATGACTCTCTCATGTTGCTTGTCTCATTCTTCATTTGGTTGGTAGGGGGCAGTGCAGCAAAAGATGGAGCTCTACTCATAAATCCCATTACCGTTTTCTGCCGTTTGTGAGGTCACACTGCCCGCTGTGTTATTTATTTTAATAAAATATGACTGTTGGATGTGCGGTATAATTGGTCACATATGTGTAATTTTCTACTAATATACTCATATTTAAAGAGTTTTATTCCCTGGGCAGTAATTCTTATTTTAGGGGATTGACGTTATTGCTTCACATATTCTAAAAAAAGGGCTTGTTAGTTTCTGACTGTAAAGTGGCCCTGTGGTTTTCCAAGAGGTCTTTCAACATTCACAGGTTTTTCTTTCTTTTTTTTAAGGGTAATGTTTAGCTCATTATAGTTTTGGTTCCTGACAGGCTACTTGTTTATCCGAATAATCTTGACAGAGTTTTGAGTTAGTTGCTAGGTGGATTAGTTCAGTCTAACAACAACAACAGACATCCATAGTTTCAAAGAGTTCTTTCTAATTGTTATTTGTTAAAGGTAGATATCTAAGCTGTTTATCTGTTTCTGGATCTGTTCCTTGTGCCGTATAAATGTCTAGACACAGTCATCTGGGAGAGATTTGTTTAGTTAGACTTATGTAATGAACTGGGTTCTTTTGGGCAAAACTCCATTCTCACATCCTAATTCCTTTCCAAAGTCTCCTCAAGAGGAAGAGAGAAAGAAAGTGTCTTGTTTAGAGGACGAAAAGCCCAAATTCCTTCCATGTGTGGAGACAGAACTCAGCTGGTAATGAGACGTTCATCATTTTCCTGTCATTCGGCCACCGTTGACTTCAACAGAACAACATGTTCCCAAAGGACAAAGGTACTGACAAATGTGTTTGTAAAAAAAGTGTAGTCTTAAGCAAGAAAATGAATGTTTAGTTAAATGTTTATGCAAGGGAGAACAGAGCTGAGTCAGTAAAACTGCCATGTTAGCACAAAGAATAGAAGTGGGAGGAATGTGTTTGGGTAAAAACGCTCAGGATGAAGCAGCTGAAAGAAAGAAAGAAAGAAAAGGGAAACTTTCAGACAAGGTGAAAGGAGGAGGAGAAGTGTCCGACAGCTGCAGAGAGGGAGGAGGCTAAAACAAAACAGAGCTGTAAAGAGGTGAGCGAGAGAAGGTTGAAAGCAATGTGAGCAGAGAGAAGGTTGCTGTTGAATGAACATCAGGAGGGCTGAACATCTGGGTCTGTATATATACAAAAAGACAGAGAGCTGGCTAAAAAGAAGAAAGTGATTTATGAAGTGAAGTGATTTGAAGTGGAGATGATTCCGACCGTGATTCTGGCGGCTGTAGTGGGCTTCAGCGCTCTGTCCTCCTACGACTCTGCCGACAGCACCACCAGATCGCCCGCCACAACAGCTGATCTGACCCAGGTTAAGACTTTACCTTTACTTTCGGGGAAATCATCCATGTTTAATGGTGGCAGCTTGATTAATGATGATTTGTATTAAGTTTCACTGAGAAAATGTCTACCATGATGCTTATACAATACTATTCCTTCTAGTATTATGTAATAAATACCTTGGAATACATCAAAGTACCATGCTACCGTATACCATCACTGTACCATGGTACTGCAACACTGGTTTTATACTTAGGGTTACTGTGTTGCTTAGAATGATGAGGCTAATTCATTACCTGCTTCTGTATTCATTTTGCATGCAACACTGGGGGCAAATGTCACGAGTATTAATTTCTGGTTGCTTTCATCCTCGATCAGCAATCACATTATTTCAAGTACCTGCCCATGATAATGTATTCAGTATCAGGTAAAGGCTGGAATACACTACACGACTTTTAACATCTAAACAGATTTTAAAACACTAGGCATTCTACACTTTCCCACTCAGGAAAAACTGAGGATCACACACTACCACAGTTTCAACTTGTTCCGAACATCAAACTCACGCAGGAACATGTGCCTTGTTGCTAGGAGACGCATGACAAATAAAAACAATGTGTTCTAAAATCGGCTCAAAAACATCAAACATGCTTGCTATCCTCCGACTGCATGGAATCAGAAGCTGCTTTCCTATCAAGGAAATGTTCCAGTCATATTTCCATCTGAGCTTGGTTGGGCACAGCACGATTGCGAACCGTTCTTGGCCCGCAACTCTGAACACATTTGACTAACCATGTGGAACATATAGTGATGTCGCCACTCAGGATTGGCATGGAATGGAACAGTTAAGCAATGAGAACTGTTTGGCCTGATGGTGGAAAAGCGGCCATTGTTTGAAGCGAAGTCTGTGCCCTTCACACATTATGCAATTTACAAATCGCCTCTGACATTTGGTGACTAGCTTTGACTCTTCCAGACCATTAATTGGGGCTAAAATATTGGTAAAAGTTGTGTATAGAATATTCTTTAAGTCTGTCGTTTAATTCAACAGGCGAGAGAGTTCAATGAGGAGACGGTTAGAGGGCGAGGGGACACTCCTGACATCATCGAACCTGAACCCACCACTGCCGTCTCCGACATGGAGAGCACTTACAACTACATATGTGCGTTACCCAATCACTCATTTCAGTTACACACTTGCATCTTAGGTGCCAGAAAATCAAGCCAAAACTAATGCAACAGAATGGATATATTTGCAATAACCCATGTCTTGACTTGCACAAATAAAGGCTTGTTAGTGTGGTCGTATTTAATAGTCTGGGCATGTGAATTATATAATGATACGCGAGCATGTTATTTATTGTAGTCATTTGATGAACTAAGTAAGATTCTATCTTTAAAAAAAAAAAAAAAAATGCTATTGAAGGCCCTCCAAGAATCCAGACATTCTATATCATCAGATCCCTTCCTCCTCCAAAAGTTTCTTAATATTCCTATTCATTCTCTGGTATGCAGCTGCATAGCTGACTAATGAAAGACTTGATTCAAATGTGTCTATTTATACATTTCTGCAGTGTCTAGACTGGCAGCGATGGATCAGGCCATCCACAGGCTTAATGTGGGACATTACACATTGGACGTTAAAGTGACACAACTGCTGGAAAGAGTGTCACGTCTTGACAATAGACTAGGTGACAATGAGGATGCCATTCAACAGGTCTCGTCCTACTGCAAGGACAACCGCAAAGAGATTGGACGACTAGAGGGTCAGTTGGTTCAATTATAAATTCTGAACTTTATCCTTTCATCTGACCCTATTCCTACCCTCTTTAACAAAACCACTTTCAATCTGAAATATGACTTTTCTATCTCTCACTCTGACGCATAATCTCAAGCCGCTTCACCTAACCCAGGGGTGTCCAATCCTGCTCCAGGAGGACCACTTTCTTGTAGAGTTAAGCCGGGGTCATACAGTACGATTTTGGCCATGATTTGGCTGTCTGAGACAAATTTTGCACATCCCAAAAGATTCCTCTGATCCTAGACTAAAATCTGGTCTTTGATCGTTAGTTTGACATGTCCACCGACAGCCGATTGACTGTTGCGATCAAATTTTATCTCCAACGAAATTCTGGTAGTGTCAGAAGATTTGACTCACAGTCCTGAAGGGTGACTCGCGTGTAATGCAGCTCACTGTCACCGAATGCGTCATTGATTAATGATGTAACACTCCAGACAAGTTTTCTTGTGTGTGTCCGTTTTTACACATCTTGACTGTTGTACAGTCTGACATTAATGACAACTGAGATTTTACAGTCTGACATGGATTACATCGGGGATCATGTTCTTACAAGTCTGACAGGACACAATCGTAAAGGACTATAATAAATCGCACAGTGTGCACCCGGCTTTATGCTCTAACACAGTTGCTTGGGCTAGAGCTAAACTCTTAAGGTGATGATACACAGGGCAACTTTTTGAGCAATGTTACTGGACAATCTTGCCGAGCAATTGTTGCTTGGGCACTTTCCCATTGAAAATGGGCAATACATTTCTATCTGGATAATTTAGATCGGTCATGGGCCCTGTGTCTCATCTGGTTGCCCGTTGACGGCAACATTGCCCAGCAACATTGCTCAAAAAGTTGCCCTGTGTATCATCACCTTCAGACATCCCTACCCGAACCCAATCCTAAGGGGCCGTTCACACAGAATATTTTTTTCCATTCCACTGCGCTACTTTTCCATTATTTTGTCTATTTAAACGCGCTAGATGGACGTGTTTGACCGCTGTGTTCGCGTCTTGTGTCTTTTGCAGCGTTTCGCAAATGACACTCCGTTCTAAAAACGTGGTGCTCAAGTTAAAAATAAGCGTCACAAGACCTTGCGGTTTTCCCCATTCCGCTGCTTGCGTCTTGCGCTTTTCAAAGCAAAAACGTGTTCTGTTAGCCTGGGTTTCCCCATACTGCCTTTGCGCAGCACGATTTTATTCACGCTGCTAGGCAGTCTGGACACCATGGACCAAATTTTCGCCTCAGCGAGGGGACCAATCACAGAACGGTGAGGGAGCAGCAAGACGATGACGACGTCTATGCGACACATACCGAAGCAGTTTGTTTATACCTATGGATCAAACATGGCAGCAGACGCGAAGTTAGCTTTCGATGCAGCCTTGGATCATAGCTGTCAACATTTGGTTTTCAAAAACGAATAGTTTTATTCTCACACACACAGAGTGAGTGCATTACCGCCCGCGCTCGCAATCGGCCATTAAATCTAGTCCCGCGCCTCACTCTACTTGAGCTTTCCGCGACTGCGCAACTGGGTTATATAGGTCGCCAGGTTCAGATGACAAGCGGGTTGAAATTGTATATGGTGTGTGGATTGTGTGAATATAATGCATTTAATAGATCTGGCAACTGGTCAACATTAGACAAACATATTGGTCCGATGATTCATAAAGGAGTTTGGGCCATGCAAATTACGGGAGTTTCCCGGGAGAAATAACAAACCGGGAAGGATCCGGGAGATAGGGCTAAAAAACGGGAGAAACCCGGGAAAAACGGGAGTGTTGACAGTTATGCCTTGGATATTGTTCTAAGTAGTTTAGAACGCAAATAAATCTCTGACCCATCGTCTTCTTCCTCGTCTAATTTCTTTCGCTGTACATACGTCGTCTGGTATAATTGAAACGATTGGCTATGAGGTACATACAGGTGCATTTGATAGACATCCGTAGCGGCTAATAAACGGCTCTGGGCATTCGTAAACCACGTCTCAAATACGACAAAAATGAACATGTGGTTCCCAGGCCACGTTTCAATGTCAATGAGACGTGGTCTGACGTTAGCCAGGCTAGTGTTCTGTGTGAACCATCCCTAACCCTGCAGCCTAACCTCCTATCCCTAACTCCAGCCCTGAACTTCCAATCTTAAAACTCTGACTCCAACTCCTAATTCAAACCTTGACCCTTATCTCATATTATAATTTCTGTACTTTACCCACAATACTGTCATCCAATCTTCAGACCTAACCCCAATTCCTAACTTCCTAACCTTAACACTAATCCCAACCCTATGCTTAACTGTCAAATCTTAACCCCTACCTAAACTGTAGTCCAGGGGTGTCTAATCCTGCTCCGCGTGGATGGCCACAGTCCAGCAGAGTTCAGCTTCACACCTGAACCTGCTAATCAAGGTCTTACTAAGTATTCTAGAAACCTCCAGGCAGGTGTGTTGAGGCAAGAGCTAAACTCTGCAGGACAGTGGCCCTCCAGATACAAGTTTGGACACCCCTGCTCAAGTCCCTATTTCAACAACTTTTCCTAGACAAAACTCCTAATGCCAGCTCCGAACCCAGGTCGTAATGTTATAGAGGAAAACCACACATTGCCAATACTGGTTCTGATCTCTTGATTGGGGCCTAAAGTATATATATATATATATATATATATATATATATATATATATATATATATATATATATATATATATATACACTCACCGGCCACTTTATTAGGTACTCCATACTAGTAACGGGTTGGACCCCCTTTTGCCTTCAGAACTGCCTCAATTCTTCGTGGCATAGATTCAACAAGGTGCTGGAAGCATTCCTCAGGGAGTTTGGTCCATATTGACATGATGGCATCACACAGTTGCCGCAGATTTGTCGGCTGCACATCCATGATGCGAATCTCCCGTTCCACCACATCCCAAAGATGCTCTATTGGGTTGAGATCTGGTGACTGTGGAGGCCATTTTAGTACAGTGAACTCATTGTCATGTTCAAGAAACCAATTTGAAATGATTAGAGCTTTGTGACATGGTGGAAGTAGCCATCAGAGGATGGGTACATGGTGGCCATAAAGGGATGGACATGGTCAGAAACAATGCTCAGGTAGGCCGTGGCATTTAAACGATGCCCAATTGGCACTAAGGGGCCTAAAGTGTGCCAGGAAAACATCCCCCACACCATTACACCACCAGCCTGCACAGTGGTAACAAGGCATGATGGTTCCATGTTCTCATTCTGTTTACGCCAAATTCTGACTCTAACATCTGAATGTCTCAACAGAAATCGAGACTCATCAGACCAGGCAACATTTTTCCAGTCTTCAACTGTTCAATTTTGGTGAGGTCTTGCAAATTGTAGCCTCTTTTTCCTATTTGTAGTGGAGATGAGTGGTACCCGGTGGAGTCTTCTGCTGTTGTAGCCCATCCGCCTCAAGGTTGTGCGTGTTGTGGCTTCACAAATGCTTTGCTGCATACCTCGGTTGTAACGAGTGGTTATTTCAGTCACTGTTGCCCTTCTATCAGCTCGAACCAGTCTGGCCATTCTCCTCTGACCTCTGGCATCAACAAGGCATTTCCGCCCACAGAACTGCCGCTCACTGGATGTTTTTTCTTTTTCGGACCATTCTCTGTAAACCCTAGAGATGGTTGTGCGTGAAAATCCCAGTAGATTAGCAGTTTCTGAAATACTCAGACCAGCCCTTCTGGCACCAACAATCATGCCACGTTCAAAGTCACTCAAATCACCTTTCTTCCCCATACTGATGCTCGGTTTGAACTGCAGGAGATTGTCTTGACCATGTCTACATGCCTAAATGCACTGAGTTGCCGCCATGTGATTGGCTGCTTAGAAATTAAGTGTTAACGAGCAGTTGGACAGGTGTACCTAATAAAGTGGCCGGTGAGTGTATATATATATATATATATATATATATATAACAATATAACCATAAAACTGGTTGGGTAATAGTAATGTTCCAGGACAAGAAAGATGGTTGATCCAGGATTAGATTATGTACAACTTAAGCAAATCTTCATGGCATTCAAGTACTCCACTTGACAATCATAAACTGAACGTCTGTGTGCTGTACTTTATTAAACAAATGAAAATGACTGATTCAATAAATTTATGTTGCTCCAGGCTGTCAGAAAGGCCGTAAAATGGGTTACAAATGCGTTTTGGCATATCGTGTGTATGAGACCTACGCAGACGCATCCCAGAAGTGTCAGGAGCGGGGAGGACGAATGGCTATGCCACGAGATCGCAAGGAGCAGGAAGCTTTGGCTGAATATGTGAAATCAGTTTTCCATGGAAACTGGCCTGTGTGGCTTGGGATTAACGACCAGCGCTCCGAAGGCCTCTACCTATTTGAGGACACAACCCGTGTCACTTACTTCCAATGGAGGAAGCACTTCCTGTCAAGCCAGCCAGATGGTGGGAAACGAGAGAACTGTGTAGCCATGTCCTCAGATGATGGAGACTGGTGGGACACCTACTGTGACAGACGCATGTATTATCTGTGCGAATTTGACGTTTGACCTTGATCAATTCCTATACGGTCCAGCTCTCTTCTAATTGATTTTGTATATATATATATATCAAGAGCACCTATTCACTGTTTAAAAAAAAACTGGAGAATTATGCACATGTAGAATTAAGGCCAGTGAATTTAGAGATCCCATGAAATGTTTTGATAAATGCATTTCCTATTGAAACAGGATGTTGGAGCAGGACATATTAGGGCTTAGCCCCTTATTCTCATTGAAGCCCAAAGTGATTCCATTGGTTAACTTTGGTTAACATTGAGTAACTTTTTGTAAATGCTTTATTTGTTGCCTCACTAGAAATGATAGAAAATAATTTTACGCTGTATTTAGTCTTAATCATGAAAATGTTAATGCCTTTTAAACTAAATATTAAATGTCACATTATATCACAGAATCAAAAAAAAAAAAAGGTCAAATTAAACATTTTTTTTTCTTTGTGTTTTCAGTTACCCCTAAATACCTAGCCTACTAGCTCAACACAGCACTTTTGATTAAAAAAGCTATTTTGATTAGCTTGAAAAAGATAGCCTGATAATGCACTTGCTTTGGAACAGGCTTTGAGCAAGTGGAAAAGGATTCTCCAGAGGGATCTTGTTTGATGCAGAGAAACGAAATACTGAACATTTTACTGAACAAATACTTTTAAAGACCCGCTGTAGTGAAAATGTGTCAATGTGTCAATTCAAAAGTCATTGCAGAGTATTTTCCCCTTAAAACTGCAGTGAACCAAAGTCAGTATCAAAAACACGATTTGACACGCCCGTTTCCTGCCATCACAAACATGTAGCCAATCCCATCAACGTGTGGGGCGGGGCTTTTCTCCACTGACTTTCTATGTTTAAAGAGTTTCTGAGGATGCTGATTGTTAGAAGGCAGCTGTCTGACTCTGAGATGGCAAACGGGAACATGATTTGGGTAACATTAGCAACACATTATTAGCTGTTTGATAATGTAGTCAAGCAAAAGCTAATCATATCAATTACTGTTATTTGTCCAGCATTGTAGAGAGCGATACATAAAACACAAATTAAATAACTTGTAGACAACCCTGTATAATTTACTTGTCCTCTTCTTCTCCTGAATCAGTTTCTGGTTGAAACATATATGGCGTTCAGTCAAGCGTTTATAGTTGACTGAGTGGATCACTGAGCTGGAGTGAGTGAGTGGAGACGGGGTTCATTTGCATATTCATATTTACACGTAATTTAAATGAAGCTAGTGTGTAGAGTTACATTCAAGCTATTTAAAGACAAATAAATGTATTTCCACAGGAAAAAACATTTAAATATGTCATTTTATTGATCAATGATGAGTTTTAAAGCAACACCATGGAACTTTTCCTCTTCGGTCGCCCTACTGGTTGGAAACGAAATTGTCCATTACCGCTGTCGTAAATAATTTAGCCTTCCGTCGCACGCACGCTCGCTGTTTATCCAGCACCGGCTTTAGAATGAACGATGTCCACAGACAAGGTAGAGTATGTTACATGATTTCATGAAAGGATGATGTATTGCGACATCAGAAAGGAAGAAAAAACGAAATAACGACTATTGTAGCGCTTGACGTAAAGCAGTCGAATTTTGTAGTTATTTTTGTGGTCGGGTTACTACCCGAACCCCGAAGTTACATAGTGCCAGTAAAAGCGATACAGATCCCGTCAGGCTATGGCAGAAGTGCCTTTTACCCTGTTACGACTTGATGAACCACTGATAAGATTTTGGAAACATTATTTTAAGGTAAAAAATGTTACATAGTGTTGCTACAATTATTGACTGCAGGGGGACTATACAATAGCAGACTGTACAATAGCCTATAGATGGCTTTAAAGCTAATAGACTAAAATGCCACAAAACATAAGAATCCTTTGTCTGTAAGGTTTGGATAAACATGGATAAATGAAAACAGTGAAACATACTGAATCTTTTTGATGTTTAATGTTTGCATTATTCCAATGGTGGTCTACATTTGCCCTGGTTCACTTCTCACATTACATTAGTGCTGTTTTTGACTTGTGTTCAAAACCGTAACAGAAATGTGTTTTCTTTTTGTTGTTCTAAAACATTCTCTAGAATTATGGCTTGTTGTTTCAACCCTGTCAAGTATTTGTTTTAAAAGCTTGAATCACTTGGCAACTACTGAAACAGGTTTAAAATGAAATAAGACTCTTAGCTCTATGCTGAAAGGTGGATAAAAGTCCAGTCTCATTCTGCCAGACAACAAGCTCTTTATTCAATGTGGACTTCAATTACCAAAGATATTCCACCAGTTATATCGTTTATTTCTCTTTTTGTAAACATTTTACCCTTCACAGTAAATAGTAGTTAAACAAGTTAATAAGATTATTTCATTTCATAGGACTTCATTGACAAAACTGTAAAAAAAAAAAAAAAAAAAAGTTAACAAATGTCCTTCATTTAATCAAGACACGGGTTAATGTTTGATATAGGTGCTGTTAACTCAACAGACGAGCAGCTGCGATGACCAGAGGGTGTAAATATCCATCAGAGACGACTCTTCATAGGTGTATAAGTTTGAGTCAGATCTTCATCCATACAACCTCTGGTGGAGCTGTCTATAGCCAACCTATAGCAACACATTTAAGGCGTAAAGTCAGTGACAGCCCAGCTAACAGGGAACGTTCTGGCAAGGTTCATTAATATGTTCCTTCCAGGAACATTAATAGTAGTTATCTGGACTTTAATAGAGTGATGCAGGTACAGTATGATGTCAGAACCTGGCAGACTAATTCCCCGCTGGTTCCTATTAGATTTTATAATGGGTTTTGTCGATTTATGTTTAAAATGTATGTTAGCCTGTGTTTAACATAACTTGACGATACTTTGACGATGCTTTGTTCTGCAACGTTAATTACACACACCCATAGTAACTAGATGAGACAGTTCGGGCTGTGAGTGTGTGTAGTGTAAGGGGTTGGGTTAGGGCTAGGGTGTCGTCAAAGTCAAAGTATCGTCAAGTTATGTTAACCACATGTTTTATTTTGGACATTCATTTAACATTTTTTAAATGTTGCTACTCGTTTCAGAACATTCAGAGAACATTCAAAAGTAACATTGCCATAATGTTTGAAGATTGATGAAATGGAATGTTCCCTTAACATTCGAATAACCAAGGAAAAAATCATTTTTAACATTGAACCTTCAGAAATAATGTTTTCATAACTTAAAGGTGGGGTAGGCGGGATTTATCTAAAAAACGTTTTCCCAAATTTGTTTAAACTGTCTATATATGCCAATACATAATTAAAATGTAAGTACTCTGAAAAAGAAAGTATAAAAGTCTAGTGTCTGTAGTCCTCTCAGGACAGCAATAAACACAGCTACTTATTTAGCTGTACATACATTTAATTATGTATTGGTATATATAGACAGTTTAAACAAATTTGGGAAAAGGTTTTTTAGATAAATCCCGCCTACCCCACCTTTAATGGGAACGTTAGCAAAACCTTCTTAGAACATATTTTGTTAGTGGGAAGTTTCTTTACATTTACTACTATATATTAAGGAGTTATACTTATATTGGTTTAATTTTCCCTTCAGTGTGAGTCTCATAGAAAAACATCAGCTTCCCATTTTTACATTTTACAGATAAGTGAAATGATTTAGGGCAGACTTTGCTTTGGAAAAGAACAGAGTATAGCCAAACCGAGGGTCTGGAATGGCTAATATTACAAACATTTTTCTTTCTAATTGGAAATATAAATCTTTCTAAATGGAAGAATACATTCCAAGTCTGGCATGAACATGAATGAGTATAACTTTTCAGGAAGTGGAATGAGGATGGCAAGGAAGCAAGTGAAGCAGTTCCACTTTCTGGAAACATACCAGAAAGACCAAACCTGAAAGCCCCTTTTTCTCCAGGACGTAAGAATGCTAAGAATGAGCAGAGACGGCAGCCAGAATCTGTGTAGCTGATGGTCTGTCCGCTGGGCTTTTACACCGGTAGGAAAATATCACTTTACCATCCTGGTCCAGCACAAAATCACCTCCCATCTGAGAGAGATAGAGAGATAGAGACTTTAAAGGTCTATTTATTTACAAATAAAAAAACATACATTTTTCACATTAACAAATTTTCCAGGATTAGATTAAAAAAGAAAGAAAAAACTCTTTCAGATTACTATTCAGATCTATTACTTTTATATTTAGGTCCATAAATGAAAAAAAAAAATCGGTGTAAAAACTTCCCCCAGAATATTACACCACTCTTCCAATCTATTAAAAAGTGGTTGAAGCCTTTCACATTCTAAAAGCAAATGAAAAACTGTTTCCTCCTCTCCACATAAAGGACAACACCTCCCCGCCAGAGAGAGAGAGAGAGAGAACTTTTAATCCATTTTCAAGAGTCCTAGACAGACTACAGGGAGACAAATGTGTATTCTCTCACTGAGTATTATGCAATATTTGGAATTTGTTTTTATGGATTTGGCACATACCACAAATAGCCTGAATCTCTTAAACACATTTTTTCTTCTCTTTCAGCAAATATCCTGATGGTTAACATCAGGATGTCAAACGAAATACTATATCAGCTTTTTTATTTTCTGTTATCGTTTTATTTTCTACCAAAATTTGGTGTTTAAATGGAGTTTAAGCCCTTATTTATGTGATTGTAGTTTCTTGCAATAAACATTGAAAAAATCTTAATGGGATAAATTGTTTGTTTCTACACCAGAATTATTTACTCAGTTGATTGTCTTGGCCATGCATGCTGTAGAAAGTGTCCAAATGATTTTATTTCTTGTGTCACAGTTTTAAGGAATGTTCCAGAAAAAAAAAAAATCATTTAGTAACAAGGTGTAGGACATACTTAAATATTCTGTTTTTGGTCATTCAAATTCGGTTCAATAAGCAATCAACTAAATATCTATTCAACAGATTATGTGTCATACTGTTCACATTTCTTGGACACAGGTGAGAAGGTGAACACCTTTGGGCCAAAATGGTACGTCAAAGTACGTCCTTTTTGTGGAAAATGACATTAATATGACTCAAGACTATTGTATAACTAGACCTCCCTGCAAAATATAGTTTTGTTGCATGATTTGAGCTAAAGAAGTTTGTGGGATATATGATTTGATATATGTCTGATCAATGTAACTAACCCTATATGCAATCTTCCTTTTATTGCCTTTATGCCATAAAATCCAGGTATTAACAAACTCATTAGAAGAAATCCATCCCATAAGATTGATATTCTGTACATACTATTTTCTGTAAATGTTCTGAGTGTCACCTGAAATAGATCATCGATGAACTGAGGTGGCACATCGGGGGACTGTCGGTTCATTGCCAGAAATGCAGAGTAGTGGAGCATTATTTTAAACTTCCTTGGTGATGGATGAACCCAGACCGAAAGCTTGATACACCTGTAACCAATCATAAACATAAACTAACTAAGGTCAATTACAACATATTTCAACCAGATCTGAAAAAAAACAAAACAACTAGAAATAAAAAATAAAAATAAAAAAAGCATAATAAATAAGGGAATACTATTACAATATGCAGTGGTGGCCAAAAGTGATGTCTAGTAAAATTGATACTTCACCCTTTATTAAAAAATGATCAAACTTTTGTAAACATATTGTGTAGTTGTGCTTGGAGTCAATTGTTTTGTTTGTGATAACAAAATGAAACATGCCAAATTGTGCGGACATAATTTTTTTGACCAGACTGTCATACAAAGAAATTATGACCACATGCAAAAACAAGAGAGAACCAACAAAATATGAATAACTGATTATGTTTGTAATTGATGTATGCTTTTCCTGAGACCTTTTTATTTTTCTATGCAGTTTTTTGCATAGTAAATTAAAACTTTTAGCTGTAGTTTGCCCTTTTTGTCAAATAATTTTCTCAAACACATACCTTGAGTCTTTTGTTCTTCCCTCATTTTTAAAATATAAAAAAATATATATATATATTTTCATCATATTTTAATGGTTTAATCAAACTGAACGTACGTCATTCTAAACAAATATATCACATCAATTTTGACAAAATTAAGCAGAGAAAGGTAGCCTGGGAAAATCCAGACCACTTCCGGCAAATTTAGATTTGCTCTGCAAGTGGGTCTGGCAAAGAGCTCATTGAAACCCATTTCCAATCCGTCGAAATCGCGGCACCAATCAGAAACATTGGGGCGGGCTTTACACGATGACGACAGAGCAGCGACGGTGACGCAGATTTTGTACATTACAAAGATGGATGCCGCCGTGGAACATCACTCGTTCGAATCAGCTATCGCGTGTGTTTCAAGCGATTTAAAATGGTAATTTTCGTTAAAACCCGAGCAAAAAACAGCACTCGAAGCCTTCATATCTAAATATACTCTGCATACGTCATGTCCTTCATCGCTCTGATTGGTTTTAGATCTATCCAATTGCGCCCAGATCCATTTGAGCGACGTCCGTTGGTGACGCCCGTGTGGAAATGAATTGTCTATGGAGCTTTGCCAGACCCTAACTCAGTTACAACTGAGAGTGGTCTGGTTTTAACCAGGCTAAGAGAAAGGACTAATAATGCTTTTGCACAGTCAATAATCCTCACCGCTCTCTCTGCATTCAACAGCATGTCAAATTCATAGCCTGTCTGACCAAGCCAGAACGTTGCTCCATCAAGAGAACCATACGAGACCACCAGCACCCGCAATGACTGAGCTTCCAGAAGCTTCTGTATGAGAAAGAACCAGAAACAGTGTTGATGATTCAACGAAAACGGAAATAGCAGCGCAATATTTTGCTTTGCCAAGTCCACAGCTGGGTCAACAAGCTTTCAAAATATATTCTCCAAGCAAGATTTCATGAATGCAGAAATGGCTGAGGCATCTTCATTAATGACAGGCTGTCTTACCTTGCTGTCCTTCAGCTCAGTCAGGTGGTCTCGTCACGGCTGTCATCCAAAATGCCGGAGCAGCACAAGGAGATTCTCTCCTTTCCACAAGTACTGACTCAGGCCCCGTCCACACTACTGCATTTTCGTTTAAAAACGGAGACCTTTTGCTACGTTTGCACCTCCCGTCCACACTAAAACGGCAAAAACGGAGACCCAAAACGGAGAAGTTTAGAAACGCTGCCGATCCGTTTTTCGTTTTGAATCTCCGGAGGGCGTTTTAGTGTAGACGGGTCAAAACGGAGGACTTTAGAAACGAGACATAGTAGAGGCTCACGCTCGGCTCTATGATTGGGTGTCATCAGTCATGGCGTATATCTTTGCTAGCAGCTGTTGTACAAGTAAATTCTGCATTTTACAACGCTATAACTGCCTACATGTGCCGGAGTCAAGCTATTATTCCAGCGATCTGTGACAATTCCCGTGTGCAGTGGCGGCGTTGACCGTACATGGAGCGTCGGTTTGGGGTTAACCCAGAGAGCATGGTGGGATAATTTTATCAATGAAGTTGTGTTTACACCGGCACACGCATGCCCAGTGTTGGTGAATGGTCACGTGATCCGCGTTTTCAGTCGTTTTAATGTGGACGGAGATCAATTCTAATACGCAGTTAAAACGCTGGTGTGGACGGAGATCGTATTCGTTTTAAAGGGATAGTTCACCCAAAAATGAAAATTAAGTCATTAATTACTCACCCTCATGTTGTTCCAACTCCGTAAGACCTTCGTTCATCTTCGGGCCGTCAAGTTTCACTCCCTTAGGAAGCCTATGGAGGAGTGATCCAGCTCTCAAATTTAATCAAAAATATCTTCATTTGTGTTCCGAAGATGAACGAAAGTCTTACGGGGTTGGAACAACATGAGGGTGAGTAATTACTGACAGAATTTTCATTTTTGGGTGAACTATCTCTTTAATGATCCGTTTCTAAACTAAAACGCAGTAGTGTGGATGGGGCCTCAGAGACACATTCCTGCAAGAGTACAGGACAACCAGCCAATGCACATTACAGTTCACACATGTCAAATCAACCAATGAGCTGGAATTTAAACTGAAATAGCCACAAACCACAGGGCATTGAATTGGATTTTAAATTGGAAAGAAAATAAGTGCAATTGCCATTCAAAGAAATTCAACAGTCACATGAAAGTGTAATTAGAAAATCAATCCATTTGTTTTTGGAGGAAATTTACAATGTTCCAAAAGGATTCTATTTTAAATAAATGCTGTTCTTTCTAACTTCTATTCATCAAATACTTCTAAAATATTTTCCAAAATTCCAGCAGCAAAACAGCTCTGCTTTAACACTGATAATAATAAGAAATGTTTCTTGAGCAACAAATCAGCATATTATCATGTGACACTAAAGACTAGAGTAATGATGCTGAAAATTCAGCTATGCCATCACATGAATAAATTAAATTTTAAAGTATATTAAAATATATATATTTTTAAATTTGTAATAATAATAATAATTAACAATATTACCGTTTGTACTGTATTTTTGTATACTTACCTGATACTAATCCTTACAAAACATTGATAATTAACTATATATAGAGATAAGTGGAATTATATAGCCTATGTATTATCTATAAAACAACAACATCAACAAAAAATAGCTGGTTTAAATTTCAACCAGGTAAAAGTTATGGTAAGTTCCTTTTACAGTACGTGCACTTACGTGTACTTACCCAAGAAGTTCTGGCTAATATAAAGGAAAGAACATGGGTTAGGGTTAGGTGTAGGGGTAGGTTTAGTACCTAGTTATTATTACCCAGTTATTGTAATTACTATAATAATAAGTACATGGTATGTACATGGGTAACAGGACTGTAAAATGAAGCGTTACCAAGTTATCATTCTCAATTTGCATGGTATATTTAAGGTACAAACACAGAAGTGCTATAAAAATTGATTCCAAGCTACAAAACAAATGTAATACCTCTAAACAACTGACTCCGACATTCAGAAACATTTTATAGACTTTGAATATAACCACGAGTTAAACGCTGATGTAATTACAGTCGTGATGTGGAGTAATAAACTCTTGCAACTGAAGGCCTTAATTTGGTTTCAACAGCAGAATAACCCAGTCAGTAGTTCTGGATTGTGGCTTCCACTGAATATGAATAAAGTATGACAAGTTCATACATCAAGGTTAGAGTTCCTTTACCTTACCATAATGTTATTGCTATTCTACAATAGTAATTGTACTGTATCTAAATAAGCATAACGTCTTCAACTCACTTATATAATTTAGCGTTACTCTACAATAGTCAAAATAAGAGGTCTGTGAGTGTCGGGAGTGTGTGTTACAGTGTAGTGTTACAAAACTTTTACAAGTAGACTTCTAAAATATGTTTACTAAATATGGTCATTTTGCTAAAATATGGTCTGTCAAACAATAACCTTACAGTACTGTAACTTTTCTCACCTCTGTAAACATGCTGGTGAATGTTGATGAGCCGTCTGTGGTTGCCGCGGCAACTCTGGTTGCTGTGGTTGTGCTCGTGCGCACCGAGAACGAGCATGAGACTGGCTGCAGTTTCTCTCACGGCCACTGGTGTCAGTAACGGTTAGAGATTTCAGAACTTACCTTCAGCTCCTTTAATTGTGATTGTCAAAACATTTGGTAGCCTAACTAAACAGAATTGAATTAAGTTTAGTGATAGCATGGTGCAATAATTGGTATAGGCTACTGCTTTTATTATTGCTTGATAACATTTTTACAATTTCAATTTAATTATTGTGGTTTCATTCCTTTTATATCATTATATAATTTGTATCATTCGTGTTTATTTACTATTAACTAGTAGGCTAGTAAAGAGAGATGATCGGATCACATGCTGCTTGAACTGAGGCGCTACAGCAATCTGTCACATTTAAAAGCGCCAAAATGGTAGCCTATTTATTGTTTGAATTTCGTAATAAAATTGACAGAATCTGAGAGCTGAGAATTTGTTTCATATCAAAAGTAACCTGCTGTGTCTTGTCTGTCGGTGTCCTCTTTGGAGAGAAAATGGATGTCTGGCGTGAGCGTGTGAAAAGGGCCAATTGCGTGAGTTTCACGCTGAATGCGTGAGAGTTGGCAGCTCTGATAAACATAGCATGCTAATATATGAGACGTAACTCAGCAGCAGCTGTTTGTGACTAAACACACCTGTGCAGATCAGGTGAGGAGCCAATAGAAGTAGAGAAGGAAAAATTTAAATAACAACAGAAACATCATGCTGAAATGAATCATAGGTTAGCAGAGTATGATCTTAGAACACAGCATGTAAAAAGAAAACAATAATAAAACAGAATAAAAGCCACCCAGAGCAAGAAGTTTTTAAAGCAGGAAACCACAGCAAACCATATAAACCAAGAATAGGGGATCAGAAAAAATAGCATACATTTCAGGGTAGTCAGAGTGGTCCTAGCCCCTGGAAAAAGAATAAACAGTGCCCAGGTAATAATGACTTACTGTTTTGCATTCCAACAGGCAACAACTCTGGATTGATGACAGACGGTGAGTGGAGATCTTCACAGACCTGGCCCGACTCAGGCTTAGGGTCAGCCACTGACTTGATCTCAGATGAATCTCGGATAGGCATTGGCTGAGATTTGTCAAGATCCGTTTGTGGTCTAAGATGCTAGACACTGTCCGGGTTGTAGCATAGGAAGAGGTGCATTACAGCCTTACGTAATCTCTGGATAAAGGCACGCACTGCTTTCCTCTTCCTTCCTTTTTTACATTTTTCTAAAATGAAGAACGATTAGCAAGTTATTAGAAACATCTCTGTGAATGACTATTAAAGCTGCACATACAAATCAATACAATTAAAAGATAAAAATAGTACAACAAATATAATTTTCCGATTTTTTAGGCAGTTACTTAAAGCAATGTCAAATCAGATTTATAACCGAAAGTAACAACAAAAAGAATAGAACATAGAAAATAACAGATGGCAGAAATAACATGAACCAGAGTAACAATGACTCACTGTCATCCAGATCAAAACAGGTGAGACCTGGCACAGGCTGGTTCAGCAGGATCTGGGTCCGGTGTTTGCTTGATCCTGGAGGGACCTAGGACACACAGAGACTCCAGATCTTCACAGACCTGGCCTGGCAGACACACCAACTCAGGTTCTGTGTACGGAGTTGTAGCGACTACGAGAATGAACCAAACACAATTGAAGCTTTTAGGTGATTGTTCATACATAATCACACAAAAGAGGCTTCACATTCCAGATTCAAATCACCAAGCCCAGAGCCATAAATCACCCACAGGCTCCTGCAACCAAAAAGACTTTTTATTGTTTAACTAAAGGAAGAACGTTGTCAACGTTTTATAATTTGGCAAGACAGATCTGTTCAGAAATGGTGAAACAAGAGGCCCTAACAAGAGGTCACCTGACCCCTGCGACTAACAGACTACGTCTTTCTTAAGGACCAAGGTCACATGAGAGATGAACAAAACAGACTTCAGCAGGAACTATCCATGACCTCAGACTGGAATGGCTTAAACCCCATAAACTTTACACACTAACACACTTTACATATCAAAATCCATAAACTCATCCCAGGACAATTCTCGATGGACTTATAATCAAACATCATGCAACTACATAATTCTATGTTATATGTGTGTGTCTAATATGCTTAGATGCCATACAATTCATAATTGTTATAAATATTAGGTGTGTGAATGAAAGTGTGTCGCTTCCTGTCAGCAGGATCGTATGTTCTTAATTCAAAAGATGGCTTGATTGAAATCGGTGTAAAATGTTTTGTATTCTTATAATAGTAATAATGTCTAAACTGTGGCCTCTTGTTCTCTCTGCTAGGAGATCACAGATAACGCATGATTTACGATAAGAAGAAAATAGAGCCACCTCCTAAATTAAGGCAGTGTCTAATTGGCCAGAACTCATCCTGGAGGTTGGACAAACTTTGAGTTTAAAATCTTAGACCTGAACACAGAAGCTCTCTCTCGCGCTCTCTCTCTCTCTCTCTCTCTCGGAAAAAGTCTCGGCAGAACAACAAGTCGGGTGGAGCAGACGATGGTTATAGTAACCATGTAGACGCAGAGACAAATGACCCAAATCAAGATCAGGGTTTAAAACAGCTTCATTCAGGCCATCTAACTCGTCTCACTTTCCTTTCTTTTCCGTTAAAAGTCTCGGTTCTAAGTTAGGTTTTGCTGCAAAGTTTCGTTTAAACGTTTCGACTGCAACGCGCTTCCAACTTCAAAGACTTTCATCCATCCGCCAACACACCACGTGATTGGCTGCCCAAGATCTAGCAGGCACGAGGAGACCGCCAGCCAAGCAACGGACCCGGGAAACCCCTTTACACCGACAAAAGGGAATCCCCAAAGCAAACCGAAGACAAGTGTAAGGTATCTAGGTTAAATCATTGACTTGTTCATCTGAACAGAACCTAAATGCACATTCCTGGTTAAATCCAAAAACTTTTAGACTCTGACTTGTGACAATCTAAATCTTAGATGGTGCCAACATGTCTGAGACTTAGAGGAACTCTCTGACACCATTTACGATCCGCGCTGAGCTTCAAAAGATCTTATCGCTCCAGCATCTTCCTTTCTGCGAGGAAGGAATGCCAGATGGCCTGGCTGGACCTTTCAGAGATGCACAACACACAGAAATACACAAACTGTTACCTTAAACTCAGAACATGAGCCATTGCCAACTGTATACGATATATTCCTGTGTGTTTGCACGCTGCCCATGTCATAGTAAGGTCTCTATGATTTTATCGTAGCATAAAGTGAATTATAAATACCTTCATTATGCATTTTAAATATAACTGTATATTCCTTTAACTTTTACATAGCGTTCTTACTACCTGTAGAACACTCGTGGCGTGAACAACGCGAATATGCATACAAATATAAAGTAAAGTGTATTTTTGATAGGTTACTATCATTGAAGATCGAAATGTCTTTAGACTGTAAACCCTCCCCACACACACACAGAGATAAAGAGCTTGCGCTCTCAGACAAAGAGTAATAAAAACTAAATTCCCGCCTGTGATTTCCAACTCTCCGATTGGCCAAGCCGACAGGAAGAGGCTGGATTTCTCCAAGGTGATAAATGTCGGCGCGCTCCACACTCTTGCTCTCTTCCTGGACTCGCTCTTCCTGGACTTGCTCTTCCTGGACTCTTCCTGCTCGCTTACCTCCCTTCGACGCTTCATCATGTGACTCCTTGGTCCATCGGGACCTCGTGTTCATGCGATGACCCATCTTTCCTTTGTTTGTCTAGTTCAGTTTTATTTTCCTTTTTGTATTTTCCTTTGTTCATTCTCACCGGCGAGTGAAATGAACTTAGTTTGAATCATTTCTTTGGCAACACCTTCAACGGACGATTTGAACATCCCGCCACACGGGCGCGCCGGAAAGGACCTCTGACCGGGTCCGGAACACACACACACACACACGAGAGAACATGATTTGCAAGTATTCGTTTTCCTACCGAGATCTAAATACTGCTAAGATTGCCTGCCCTAATTAGGGTACGATTTGACTCTAGTTGTCTCTCTTAACGGTTCTGTGTCTGTGATGATTTTTGCCAAACTCAGATCTTTCCAGATCTTCTCCATAGACTGTAAAAAGATCTTCTCTCTCTCTCTCTCTCTCCCTCCCTCTCTGTCTATCTCACACTGATCTTTCGCGATCAGCTCTCTCTTTCTTTCTGTATGCATTCTCCTTCGTCGATGTTTTATTGGGTTTGTAAATACATTTATTCCTTGTAGCGTTAGTAACCGTATACGTAGTTTTGCATTTATTAAATACATATATTCATTTATTGACTCTGTCTTCATGCTCATACTCAAATCACTTAAATGTTTTGGTCTCAGCTACCAGCTTTAAAATTGTACAATACTTTAAATAGTATTGTGGCAAAACAGGAAAGTTATCTTTTACGGCCGTAAAGATCGTCTTTTCCTGCGAGTCTCTTAAAGGTAATTTCTCTGTGGGAGTTGATGAAGATCCATGATCAGTTTGCTGGACAAACAGATTATTCGATACGAATTAATTCCATTGAGGAGTATCCTGAGAATCTATATATTCTAGACAATTTGTATATGAATATTGAATTATAATTCGTTATGATTTGATTATTGATGAATAAAATTGATCTATCTTGTCGATCTGTATGAATAATTGATTATAAATCCATTGTATTCATTTACATTTAGTCATTTAGCAGACGCTTTTATCCAAAGCGATTTACAACTGAGGACTAAACCAAGCGAGTCATCGTGAAGAGGCAAAAGCAACGCAAGAAGTGCTCAAAATACAAAGTTCAGACATAGCTCGGAGTAGCATAAGCCAGCATATTCAGTCGTTCATAACAGATTGGCAATGTAACCCCCTTTGCTGGGTGATTTTTAATAACATGTATTGTTATCTGGGTCAAACCCGTATCAATAGTTATTAATTTGTAATTATTAAATATTGAATACATATTCCCCAATGGCCCAAATACTTTACACAAGCAAGTAACCTTCAGACTCTTAACTGAACTGGTGCATTAATATAAAATTGAATAACCTGCCTAAGAAACGATAGAAGGGTTAAATCGATGATTGATGGTTCATTCAGGTCATGTCTTTTAAGTGCATATAGAAACTTGGGATCTCACCATCTGACTCCTAAAACTCATTCTTCCTCACTCTCTTTCTTTCTGCAACTCGTATGAATGTGTGTGTGTGTGTGTGTTAGATATTAGTTTTATGTGTTAGTCATAGGCTTATAATCAATAAAGTATTGTTTGTATTTGAAAAGAGAAGCATTACTTGTGTTATGTGCTTACGAATTTATTGTCTTGAACCACGATCTAAGCTACCTATGCTTTTACCCTTGATTTATTTCTTAATTTAGCTGTTAGCTGGGAATTAGTCTTTCTTGGCCAGGAAGATATTATATTTCCTAGAATTAATAATTGTTCATGCTTTCCGTTCATTGGATGAACTGATAAAATTATCATACAGTATACTATTGATTCTGCTACAGTAAATTCTGAAAATAATTAAATTATTAATTATAGATCATAATCCGTTATGAATAATAATTAGTTTTATTTATACGGGCGTATAAACGCTACAGAGTTGACGTGTTCCTGACAGGACTTTGGACAGAAATTGGCTCAGGATCATCTAGATCCGGCTGTGCTGTAAGATGCACCACTCTGTTCGGGTCGTGGTGAAGGAAAGTGGGCTTTACAGCCTTCCATTTTTTCTGAAAGAGAGCTCTGACTTTACCCTTGCTTTCTTTTGCAGGTTTTTCTAAAACAAAGACAAATTAAATGCAAATTTTTAGAAAAATGTCTGACCACAGTTAAAAAACAAACAAATTCCTGAAAATGAAACATGGCTTTTATCAGATAACTTCATTAAACAAAAAAACAAAACACACATTTATATTCATGGACTTCTCAATCTTTTTTTCCAAAACGAGGCCAGGAGTCAAACCCTGAGCCAAGAACTCAAGAAGGACCAGCACAAGATTGCAAATTAGAAAAACACTACAAAAATTAGTCACCAGGTCCGTTGACCATTGGGAGCACCGGGAGAATTTGCCCCGCTGCCTTTAAAAAATAATAATTATATAATATAGGCCAAAATATAATTATAAATCATCGCCTGCCCAATGTACTAAATTGATCATTTCGAAATTCTGCATTCTATAATAAATAACTACTAATCATGAATCGGTTAGTCTTGACTGTACACCACCAGTGAACTAGTCTACCCAAAAATTCAGATACGCAGAATAAGAAACATCTGTTTTATATCAATATTTTCAAACATTATAAGATTCATAAGACTGTATATGAAAAACTATGTAAAAAAAAAGAGTATATTTAATAGGCTACTTGATCAAAAGAGTTAACCCACTACAAGTCAAGTATAATTTGAATACTTAAAGGTGGGGTATGTGATTTGCAAAACGGCCGGCAGATTTTGAAAATACACAACTCAAAAGGTCCTACCTTCTTTCCTTCAACGCTGGCCCTGACTCCACCCATTCGAAGAACATGGACGCGCAATCATGCATCTCTCTCTCTCTCTGTACCAGGGCGACTTGCACTTATATCTATGGCACTTACTGTGACTGGGTCAAGAGCTTTGAGTATGCGCACGAAGGGGACACGCGCGCGAGGGGAGGGGGGTATGGTACGACCATTTGATTGACGCATTTTCTGTCCAATGATTCTAGGTGGTCTTGGAAATGATTGGCTGGAGTTTTTCGAGTCCTGCCCGTTCCACAGATCATTCAATTGCTTAATTTTAATTGAAGTGCTTCTAACTTAGTAAGTGGGTTAGGAATAGGATTTCAAGTGATTTTGAAAAAATGGTCAAAAAAGAAAATCACATACCCCACCTTAATTATACCTGTAAGTATATCTCGATCAAAAGAACAAGTACAGGCCAAATATACTTGGACTTTTCTCTCAGTATAAGTCAAGTACACTTAAGTGTAATTTTAAGTATATTTCTGAGAAGTACATCAAGTATATTTTTGAGAAGTATATAAAATGTAGACTGAAAGTATACTTTCTTATTTTTAGTTGAAAAGAAGTATACTAATAGAACACTTGAATAAACTTATTATTATCGCTGTGTTCAAGATCAGGTTCAGTTCCATGCTTATTTTATTTACTCTATAAGCTGTTCCACCTGAAAGCTTGTTACTATATAAACTTGAACATGTTAGTTTATAAGACAGTGTGTAATATTATGTTTTTAAAAAAGTATTTAATAAGCTACTCAATCAAAATAGTAAACACAAGTAGAAGCCAAGAATACTTAGAATACTTAATTATACTTTTAAGTATATCTCATTCAACAAGTATAGGCCAAATATACTTAGACTTTTCTGTCAGTATAAGTCAAGTATACTTAAGTGCAATTTGAAGTATATTTCTGAGAAGTACATCAAATGTAGACTGAAAGTATACTTTCTTATTTTTAGTTTAAAAGCAGTATACTAATGGCACATTTGATTAAACTTCTTTTTCGTAAGAGTAGGAAGAAAAAAATAAAACTAACACTAGAAACATCAGGCTGAAAAGGACATGAATCAGAGTGGTATTAACTAGAGACTCACCGTCTGTCGGCTCGGACTGTTTAAACCAGTCATGATCTAAAATTTCCTGTAAGGTGATCCAATACACCCTGTCATGAAGCATCTTAAGAAAGTCCAGGCCTTCTGTAAAAGTGTTTAGAAGAGAGCATTAGTCCTGTTTGATTTTGAGACATTTTGTGCATTTAATGAATGAGCACTGTATTTGAATATTATTTTTTATTCTAAATTGTTTTAATTATTCTTATTTCTTTTGATTATTTTCATTTCTTCTATGTAAATCACTTTGAATTACCATTTTGTATGAAATCTGTGCTATATAAATAACTTGCCCTGCCTTGACTTAAACATTCACTGTCAATCCACTGGTTTTACACTTTGCTTATTTGTCATCAAGGTAATTTTACTGTCACTTGTTTAAGAGCTTTACATGTTTTTAAAGCAATGTTATTTCCATTTTGTTCTTATTTTTGGTCTCACCTTTGGACAAGCGTGTATTTTTCCAACCAAACCCAAAACCATTTCCTTGGACCATCTCCCACAGCATATCGTACAAGTCATCATTGGCTAAAATTATCCCCTCTGATTTTAAACCAGATTCTTCTCTTCCTGCAAGCAATACATATGGTGTGTTTAGTTAAACACGCTTACTTCCATATCCTGTGCATAATAAATCAGTGAATTGTGCTCAAAAAGCAAACTCACGTCTTTGTACGTTTATCCGTGCTCCGTTAAAGCCGGTTAACTTGATCTGCATGGTGTCTTTGATGATGACTACTTCTCTCGGGCTTATGTTTCTATAATAAACATCCCGATCCCTGCAGTGCTGTAACGCAGCGATGAGTTTCTTCATGATGTCTTTTGCTACTGCTTCAGTCAGACTACCTCCGTTTTCTTTGATGAAATCAAGCAAGGTTATGCTGGTCTCTGGATATTCCATAATTAAGATGTACTGATCTTTCTCGTCAAACCACTCATGTAACTTAATGACATGTTCGCTATGTTCCACCCTCAGCATTACAGCTACCTCTCGACACCAAGGTTTGGAATTGCCAGCCTAAAAGAAGAGATTGACAAAAGGTTAGTTGACTCCTAACCTCAAATCTCCTTACTAGAGTGAGGGAAATTCAAGAAGAAAACAATTAACTTTACAT